GTTTGTGCTCTAGCAAAGTTTCCGACAAGTCTTCAAATGGACTTCACTTCTCAATTACCAGTGACCAGCGGCCACTGCACGGTGTGGCAAAAACCTGGTCACGAGGCTGGCCAGGAGCATAGCTATGCTCCTACGCCGGTTGTATCCATGTCAAAATGGATCAGTGGTTGCTATGCTTCATGCCGTGGAAAAAACCGTTCTTGTGGCACAACCCATTCAACTGATTGCACTTACAAGTCCAGAGGCATATTAGTTGGTGATATAGAAGGTGGCGGTCATAGCAAACGACGAAAGCCTGCAGGTAAGGGTGCGAAAGGCATACCCCCCCGAAGGGAGGTCATCTCAGCACCCTTCGGCACCCGGAGGTGCCAAAACGGGGTGTCCCCTAACTCCGTGAAATGCTGCGTCATTGCAAAAAGTGGTCTGTTGCGTGCAGGGCCCGTGTGAAACAGGTGAAACATTGGACCTATCCTAACATGGTATCTGTACCCCTTTGTACAAATTGGAAATGTCGGACATCAACAGAGGGAACTAAGGTTCCCCCTGGGCATCCTCCATTGCCACTCTCTACCACCCGCCTGTTGGGAACGAGAAGCTAAGGCTCTCATTCCTACTGGCTCACTGTATTGCGAATGGCGAAAAGAGGTTGACGGTCCTCCTTAGTGTTTGCGCATTTCCTTTGCCGTAGCTTGTTAGCGGTGCGTCTATCCATCATTCCCGCTGCGAAAGCATTGCTGGTCTTTGCAGGTCTGGAGAGCCCTCTCTCCATTGCTCACTGGCATCTGCCGACCGCTCTCGGTGCCGCTTGGACTAGACGAGTTACCCACCACCCACCTTGGTCAAGGACATATGTCCTTCGCCATGTGTTGCTTTTTCTTTGCTTGTACTTTGCTCGAAGATGCGAACTGCCTGCAAAGGCGCATAGCGCCATGCAGAGCAGGAGTAGGAACCTCCTGTAGAGAGGTACGCTGAAGGAAGGCTTCTTTTGCTGTGATCCTCAGCTCTACTCATGGTATTTGGCCTGCTGTGGCTTCTGGCCTACTCTGGACTCGAGCTAAGGCGCGCGCCCATGATGGATGTCAGTGAGCCTGCGATAGCTGTGATCCGAGAGGCTTGTCTTCATCCAAGACCAGGGGTATATCCCATGTCCGGGATCATATGTAGCCAGGGCGGCCATCTCATATCAGGACAAATGGCGAAAGCATTTTCTTCTGCATAGACTCCTCGCCATTTGTGCTTGCCTGGCATCTTGGCGAGCCTCTTAAAAGCAGTGCAATCCAAGAAAGCCCCACTTCCAATGTATCTTAGTGAGGGCGGGATTGCAAGCTCAACAAGGGCTGCACAGTTCATAAAGGCTTTAACTCGGATTGTGTGGAGAGTAGGCGGAAGGAGAACTTCTCTGAGGCTGGTGCAGTGCACAAAGGTGAATTCCGGAATTTCTTCAACATTGGTGTTGCAAAGGTCGACACTCTTAAGCAGTCGGCAACTGCGCTCCTATAGCAGTAAAATGCCTTGTAAGAGAAGAGCGAGTGCAGTGATTCCCGTAGAGCTAAGACAGCCAGGTGCCAGCTCACTGGTCCTAGCTTGCAGTATTGACCCTCGGGGGACGGAATCTCACACAAGGTAACCTCAGCAAGGTTAATGCACCCTTGAAAGAGGTATTGCCCGAACTGGCTTCGTTACTGATTTTATTTGCAACCCCTTCAGATGCATACACCCATTGTAAGGAACAGCATTCCGCAAAGGCCTTGTGTCCAAAGTCTCGGCAACCAGGAGCCGAGACACTGTTTAGTTGCTTGCAGTCACGAAAGACGTTATCGGAAATGCCTACAACTGTGGCCGGCAGTTTGACAATGCGAAGCTGTCGGCAATTTTGCCAGGCCTCTGCTCCAATAAGCCTGATGTCTGACTCAACACTGACATGCCGCAGACGCGGAACCCCTGCAAAAGCCCCTTCTGGGACGATTTTCTCTGGGTTCATAGGGACATGAACGGCAAGCGGAACCTTGCTGCAGCCTGTCCCAGATTGGGTCCTCAAGGTATGTCTGTGTGGCAGTTTGCAGAAAGTCGATGGAGCACCCAAACACTTTGAGGTCAGTGACTGAGGCCAGATAGTCCATAACCTGGTCCTCTAGGTCCTCAAATCGATCAAACTTTGCCACACTGGGAGAGACCTTGATAGTCACCCCCGAGAGCGTGGTCAGTACCAAGGAGCAGTCCATGACCGGCTCCATTTCAGGGGGAGTACTAAGCCTGGATGAGTCGTCGAGCTCCATGATGTTTGAGCCAAAAGCTTCTGACTCTGCTCATGGACTGTTCCTAGGGCCAGGGATGTTTCCTGAAGACAGATGCTAAGGCACCTACCTTAAACCTCACATGGACTGACCTAATGTTAGGAGTACTCTTGGTATAGCTCTTCATCAAAGGCGTCCGAATCGGGCCCATCCGCGGAGAGGAGCTCCACCCACCGGGATTTTTCAAATTTGTCACACATGAAGAAAGCATTGTGCCTGCCTGCACCCACTGTTCAACATCCAGGGGAGTAAATCGTTGCAGTTGCTCACTGAGCTCTGTCGGGATGACTACTTCTTGGAGCACAACATCAAGGAAAGCTTCTTTGCCAATTTGTGTGAGTCTTGGTGGTAGCCATATACAATGTAAGGCTACACAGTGGGCAAAGGTAGTAGAGTAGGACTGTGATTTCTGTGCCCATGAGATTGACCTCCACAAGTCGTTTGCAGTTTTCACAGGCCCTCGGCCCGATATTGTGAAAGTCACTTGGCAAACAGAGCTGTTCAATGCCTGCTCCACAAAATGCACCTCCAGGCAGCGCTCGGGGTTTATTGGTGTGGTCCATGTCAAAGATGATGGTTGTAAGCGTGAGGCAACTCTCAAATGCATATTTTCCTGACTGTGCACCTGGTGCTAGGACGCCAGTTGACCTTTGCAACACCAATGTTGAAGAAGTTCCGGAATTCGCCTTTGTGCACTGCACTAGTCTCAGAGAAGTCCTCCTTCCGACAACTCTCCATACAATCCGAGTCAAAGCCTTCATGAACTGTGCAGCCCTAGTTGAGCTTGCCATCCCGCCCTCACTGAGGTACATTGGAAGTGGGGCCTTCCTAGATTGCACTGTCTTTAGTAGGCTTGCCAAGATGCCAGGAAGGCATAAATGGCGAGGAGTCTACGCTGAAGAGAATGCTTTCGCCATTTGTCCTGCTATGCGATGGCCACCCTGGCTGCATATGATCCCGGACATGGGGTATACCCCTGGTCTTGGATGAAAACAAGCCTTTCTGGCCGCAGCAAGCGCGGTCTCGCAGTCACTCGTCAAGAGTCTGGGCACGCGCCTTAGCGTGAGTCCAGGGCAGGTCAGAAGTCACACCAGGACAAATTCCATGGGGGAGCTGAGAAACATCGCAATTGCACCCTTCCATAGGAGGTTCCACCCATGCGTATCATGGCGATATGCCCGCACTTTGGAGCTAGAGGCAAGCAAAGGAAAAAACTGCGCATCGCAAAGGACACGTGTCCCTGAATAAACTGGATAACCTGTCTAGTCTAGGCAGCGCTGAGAACTGTCGACAGATGCCAGTGATCGCAGGGAAGAAAACTGTTCAGACCTGCCAGAACCAGCAATTTCTTTGCGGCTGGAATGGAGGACAAGCAAACCGACAGCGGAATACGGCAAGTAAGATGCGCAAGCACTAAGTAGGATCACCGACCTCTTCTCGCCATTCGCAACGCTGTGAGCCAATAGGAATGAGAGCCTAAGGTCCTCGTTCCCAACAGGCAGGTGGTAGAGAGTGGCAATGGAGGATGCCCAGGGGGAACCTTAGTTTCCTTTGTTGATGTCCGACATTTCCAATTTTGTACAAAGAGGCACAGATACCATGCTAGGATTGTCCAAAGTTTCACCTGTTTCACACGGGCCTTGCACGCAGCCGATCACCTTTTGCACTGGTGCAGCGCTTGCAGCAAGCGCGGTCTCGCAGTTGCTCGGGGCACGCGCCTTAGCGTGAGTCCAAGGCAGGCCAAAAGTCACACCAGGACAAATTCCATAGGGGAGCTGAGAAACATCGCAATTGTACCCTTCCATTGGAGGTTCCACTCATGAGTATCATGGCGATATGCCCGCACTTTGGAGCTGGAGGCAAGCAAAAGAAAATAAACTGCCCATCGCAAAAGACCAGTCCCTAAACAAACTAGACAACCTGTCTAGTCCAGGCAATGCTAAGAGCTATCGACAGATGCCAGTGATCACAGAGAAGAAAACTGCTCAGACCTGCCAGAGCCGGCAATTCTTTGTGGCTAGAATGGGGGACAAGCTTACCCACAGCGGAGTACGGCAAATAAGATGCGCAAGCATTGAATAACCTCTTCTCGCCATTCGCAATGCTGTGAGCCAATAGGAATGAGAGCCTGAGGTCCTCGTTCCCAACAGGCAGGTGGTAGAGAGTGGCAATGGAGGATGCCCAGGGGGAACCTTAGTTTCCTTTGTTGATGTCCGACATTTCCAATTTTGTACAAAGAGGTACAAATACCATGCTAGGATTGTCCAAAGTTTCACCTGTTTCACACGGGCCTTGCATGCAACCGATCACCTTTTGCAATGGTGTGAAAAGTGGCGTACAGCGCACGGGTACAGCGTATGGCTCACCTAGTGCTTGCTTCTTTAGGGAATTTTCGTTTTTGGAGTGCTTGGGGTTGGAGCTGAGTGGAGGTCTGTGCCCTTTTTGTGTTTGACCTTTGACCACCTTAGCAGGAGGATGTTTGAAGTGGCAACTTGTGGCTAGGAACTGCTTAGAGAACCTTTTGGTAGAGCACGATCAACCTGAAGGATTTAGACCAGTTGGTTTCAACTCTAATATATTTTTCTATTTCCATTAAATACATATATAAAAGATACACATTTATATATCTACAATAGTATACAGTATATTGAACATCTATAGACATGATACTGTATATATATATATATATAGGAACATTTTTTTGATGTGGTCTCTGTAATATTCGTTATCATCCTTCTATGCAGGTTGGGAATCTCTGTGTCAATGGGTGTGTGGCCGGAACCGTTGCCGTGCAGCTTGTCCAACAACTTTTTCAACAGCAGAATATAGCAACTGCTCTCTCAGACCATCTAGCCAGATCAAATCTGTACGTCAGGATGAAGATGGTCCAACGACTGCGTCGGAAACCGAGATTAAGACGCAGAAGATCAGTTCCAGAATCTGTGCGTTCTGCAACTCCAAAACTTCACAAATTCATCACATTCCGATCACTCATGCAAAACTTCATGCAAAATGATGCATGGTGATCCGAATGCATGTTCATGCATCAGGGCCGTCTACCCGTGAAAAGCCACAGCCATGGAAGGTGTCCTTGCACCCATCATGTAACCGGTATGTCCCACGGACATGGACATGACCCCATCGGATCTGTGCAGGATTTGCCGAGCGAACACCGAGCGAACAACTAGGAAATTGTGAGCGAACGTGTGCAAGTCACGCTCAACACCAAGCAGGGATCTCATCGAAGAGATAGGGCAGTTGCTGCTCCTGACAAAGCAATGAGGAATATGTTCAGTCAGTGGTAATCTATGTGGTTACTAAGCTGAATGATGGTTGACTTGGGTGGGCTTGCTTTCTGGTTCATGAACGATGTCCACACGGCATCTCAAAGATCCCGTCTTGGTGCTGTTTAGTCTATTTATTCAGAACACATGTAGTAGCAAGAAGCTACTAGGAGCAAAGGGCATCGCTACTAGGAACAAGTGCATCGCTTCTAGTAACAAGTGCGTCGCTACTAGGAACCAGTGCCTTACTAGTAGTAACAAAAGACTTCAATTATCATTTTAATGTTTGCTTCTAATAGCAAACATTGTTACTACTAGTAAGGCACCTGTTTCTACTAGCGAGGCACTTGTTACTAGCGAACGGTTCTGTCCGTCCTTCGGCACAGGCTCTCCGTTAAGTCGTTGATGCAACTCCTCCCATTCCCGGCGGTTCACGGCCACAAAACTCTCGGGAGGCATTGTGCGGTAGAAATGCTTCGTGCGCATGTCGACCTGAGCGAAAACGAACTGTTTTCAGCTAGAAAAAAGTCTTCTTGTTACTACTAGTAAGGCCCTTGTTACTAGTAGCGATGCACTTGTTACCAATAGCTTCTTTACAGTTGTAATTAGTCTTTTTTGGGTTTTCTGTATCTTTCTTAGTTTCCACGCATGTACACCAATGAACCTCAGCCATTGAAACAAATTGAATTTGAACATGGGAGTGTTTGATGGAGATGATCATTTCTTGATTTGTGGTGTATGCTTCATGGAATTCACGTCATCCAATCAAAATGCAGACTTTTCTTCCGATTTCTCTGATGGTATATGATGATGGTGTCGTTTACGATTCCTCTGACCGTCGACACGAAGGGCTCAGCAGGGCCGTCTCGCTCCGTCCGCGGTTTACGACTTCTTCAAAGGCGGCTCTGGTCCAACCTACAGCGATGGCCTCAACCCGAAATTGGATGGAATCTGGAGTTCAAACGGCTTAACTCCAGATTCCATCCAATTTTACCTAGTGGTGCCTGCCACCTTTACGTGGATAGAATCTAGAGTCAACCCTTCCTTTCCTTTGCCAGTGTCTTGGAAGAGTTGTGATTTGGATTTTGTCTGTTTTGCTTGTCAGCTTCCATGCTTCAGGGCTTGACTTCAGGGTGGGTCCACTGGTGCTGTGACAGCAATGATTTGGCTATGTTACGTTTGCTGCTCTAGGGAATGAACTCTGGAGGTAATATGACTGTGGTAGGTGCACTTGGCAGCTCACTTTTAGATTTCAGCTGTTACCAAGCAGCTTCTCAGGGAAGAAATATGGCACGTCCCTACACCTGGCCCATAGTAGTGCTTTCTGATCAAGAGCATGAAAATGAAAGGCGCTTTGAACCGCCGCCCTTGATCCACTGTGTGGGGGCAATTGTATGTAGTTCACCTGAACAACCATGAGGCAACGTGTCCCTTGGCGCCAAACACGGAGATTGTGAAGCGTGAGCCGTCCAACCAGAGAAAAGCTGGAAGTTTGCCGGAAGCCCCGCCAAGACGCATTGTCGACAGATTAAATCCAAACACAGGTGGAGATTGCTGATTTGAGACTGGTGGACATTTGAAGCCCCGCCAAAGAGCTTCAATCTCGATGTCCAATCACTAGACAATACCCTTCTAGGATAAGCACTTCCAAAGGCTTAAATCTGGAGTCAACCCTTTTCTGACTCCAAAATCCATCCAATCCCGCCTCAACCCTACTAGCGATGGCCTCACCTATTACCGATGGCCTCCAACCTACTAGCGATGGACTCGAACATAAGATGGTCTTTCCATTTCTTTCCCATTTCGCTCCGCTCGCTCCACACCTGTTGTTGAGCATGTTGAGCAATCTGATCATCTGCGTCAATGAGTTTCATGGCAGAAGCAATGTATTGATTCCACTTCCTGGCAAACAGTACGAGAAAACACTAAATGATGTTACATTACATCAATAAACAGGCATTAGGTTGGAGGCCATCGTTATTAAGTCAAAAGGGACTACATGGCATTTTTTGAACAAATGCTACTACATGCTACTGTGCGGCATAGTGTGTTGCCTTGAAAACTTAGCACGCCATCTCGAGGTTTTTCTCGGCTTTAGGAAAATCTTGCCGATGTTAGTTGAAATGTTTTGAAGGCGTGGGCCGACAATGTTGACATGCTCCGAATCATCTCGCACAGTTTTTCGACTTGGGTTCAAATAGTTTTCCGTCACTTACAGTTATGAGAGAGTGACATTCTCGACACGTTGGTTCTTCAGCTTACCTAGTTTCGTCAACTTTACAAGTCGGTTCTAAGCCGGTATTCCAGATCGAAGTCGGATGGCTTTGAGGATTCGCAAAGATCGGCAAGCAGTGTCACATCGGCGATCCCGCATCGCCCAAGTCGCCTCTGTGAAATAGGCACCGATGTTGTGTGCTCTCCCCAAAGCTGCTGAGCCAACACGTCTGGCCGCTTGAGGCCCTCCACAAAGACATTGGTGAAGAACTTGCCATACTCCAAGACCGAAGAGCCGAAGAAAGAGTTGAAAGCACCTAGCGATGGCACGAAAACCTTTTAGCCTACTAGCAATGGCTTCCAACCCAAAGAGCGATGGCCTCCAACCAAAACTAGCGATGGCCAACCTATAATAGCGATGGCCTCTATCCTAAGAGCGATGGTCTCCAACCTACTAGTAATGGCCTCCAACCCAATAGCAATGACTTTTCACCTACTAGCGATGGCCAAGTAAGAGAAATGGCCTCCAACCTACCAGCGTTGGCCTCCACCCTAAGAGCGGTGGCTTCCAACCTAAGAGTGATGGCCTCCAACCTATAGTAGGGATGGCGTTCAGAAAGAATGGCAAGGACACAGTAGGCCATCGCTACTAGGTGGATTTCCCGAGTGAGCTATGGTCCCATGGCTTAGTCTTGGTGAACAAATAACTTGTTTTTGGGTGGACATGCCAGGGTCAACCCTCGCCACATTGGAAAATCTCATTAAAACCAGCATGGCCGTTACATGGCCACTGGTCAAGTGTCATCTTCGTCACAAATGATCGAAGCAACGGAAGCAAACCACTCGAAGCCTTTAAAAAAACCGAAGAATCATCAACAACACCAACACCAACACCAACACCTTACTACTGAATACATTTGAATACGAACGCCAGGGCCTTCATCGATCTCTGCATCGGCCAAGTACATCATGTGCTGATCCAAATAGTTTGTGGTCTTCACCTCCTTGCGCCCTGTGAGCCATTCGCACAGTGTGTTGGATCGTTCGAAGCCAATACAGCCCACCACCACGTCACATGCCATGAAGTCTCCATTCGACAACACCACGCCCTCTTTCTCAATGCGATCGATCGTACCTCAATGCGTCGATCCTCCGTTACTTCGAACTGCCTTTGTTTTGTTTTTGTGCATACCCGCAAAATAACATACTCTCGGGTTGGGGGGCACATTCCATCTTGACATATTCAGCTGCATTTGTTGCCAATGTGATACCGTGATACCTGTCTTGGTGGTCAGCTTCTTCATGTGATGGGCAATGAACCAAATGTCGCTCACTGAAATGGTGTGGCCGTCATGTTTCACCTCCATGCGAGCAAACACATATCAGAAATAAGCAAAGCAATCCTTCTAGTGATGGCCTCCTCCCTAATACCAATGGCCTCCTCCCTAATAGCGATGGCCTCCAACCTAGTAGCGATGAAAAAAGCAACTAGATTATCTTCATCTTTGTCTAGAAAACATAGGGGTTTGCTACGCGTGTTGACCGGCGCAAATGGCGAATAGCTCATGGTCGATACAGTAACCGTGATAAATAACCTTTGATCATGGTTGACAATAAGGTCGGTTTGTATAAACTGAGGGGCATGGTTCCCCTGTAGAGAACCCTGACATTGGCCGCAATCCTGCTTGATGCCTTAATGCACATCCCTGCTGATTTCAGTCGGTTCCACGGGCAAGGAGAGCTTCGCAAACCTGCCTGCTTGGGCCAACATTCAGGCACTTGACAGCCAGATGCTTCGTAGAGCTGCTTCCACCGCAAGAACTGTTTCACATTGGTCTGCGTGTCATGCTTATACTTCTCATCCCATGGTTTCACAAAGTTCAAGTAGTCAATGGCCTGGCTTTTCGCAGAGCGACTTGAGTTTGTTTTCATACGGGGCCCCTTAGTTCATGACCAATTGAAAGGGGGCATAGTTGATGACTGATTGATCGTAGATAACATATTCACTCGAAGCATCGGTGAAATTGCCCTGGCAAGTTTGAGGCAACACAGTCCGCCCGAATGCAGTCGATTCCAATGCTGACGATTTACTGAGGTTTGTGCATCAAGTAGCTTCTCAGCGAACCAATGGTGACACCAACAAGTTTCCCCTTGAAGTGAGATGCTCCAACCCTAGTAACAAAAAGCTATTAGACACAAGTGCATCGCTAGTAGTAACAGGTGCGTAGTATCAAAGATGCTTAGGAGGTGACGATCACCTGCCAGTCCAACCGATCAACATCCACAAATATACGGTGTTGTGAATTCGCCACAACCAAGAAACGGTCTTCAAAGAACTGAACGAAAACCAAATACTTGAAAGAAACAACCCATCTAGAGGGGAAGCAACAATCATTAGAGCAAACAACTCACCCTGAAAACCGGAATCAAAAGAATCTGACAATCCCACGACGAAGCTAACGAACTCGATGAAGAGCACTTCTTTCCACCATGTGCGTCAAGGAGTAAAGGGGAACCGCTACCGGCGGCTGGAAGCCAACATAACACGAATCAACCGAAGGAAATCTCAAACAGCACCCCCAAATTAGAGTTGATTCGACTTCGAAAAAGAAGAAAGCTTTCGTTGGCTTCACAAGACCGCATCTTGGCGGAGGCACTCTTTGAGCGACCGCGAACAGAGGGATTGACCTTCCTCTGCTTCAACTCTTCCAGCTCATCCCACAGAGCGAGCTTGGATGTTCTCCAGAGCTCTTCTAAGGCACCATTAGATTTGGAAATGTCAGCTTTCGTCAAACCATTTGCTATCATCCGAGGATGTGGGGTCCAGCGAACGACACTCTTGGCTTTGTTCAGCGACTCCAAAATGATGCTCAGCTCAACTGATGTTCTGCGATCTTGTCGTGACATGGGTGATTCCTTCATGAGGGCGTCAAACAAACTTTTGGCGTCCGTAATGTGACACTGCTGAAGCCGGGAAGCTAGCTCGCAGCCTTCTCGAAGCATGGGAAAGTGCGGTTGAAGGGATTCGGTCCAGTCACGTCTTGATATGTCTCCCTTCACGATGTCTCTGATCATGATTTGAATCCACTCGACTTCTCCCAATGATTGGTTAAAGGCCAATGCTTCGCCAGCTAGGGTTGAGGCCACCTTGCGTCTCAGTTTGCATGAGCGCCAACTCAAGATGCTTACCTTGGTTTTCTGTGAGGCACTAGGAAGTCTGTCTGATGCCATGATCAGTCAAGCCCCTTGCACAGTGTCTATCTCTGAAGAACCGGGTGAGGGCATTCCATCCACGCCACCGGCATCTGAAGCCGAGATCAGAATCATGTCTTCGTTCCTGAATGAGTGAAGCGTGAGTGACTGCTGTGCCGTATTCCGAAGATGACCGATCAACTTGTTGATGCAACACACGTCGTGAACTGTCGCTTCCTTCAGCCGAGAAGACAGAATGCTGACGACCCCTGCTGCTTCAGGCCTGGTTTGGTGCGCGACCCAGGCCACTCTGTACAACATGCTCCTGAAGGACTCGAACTCATCATGATTCAAGGCGGCTGCTCTATCTCCCTTACGACCTTGCTCAATTCGAACTGGATGTAGTTTCTCCACTATGTATTTCTCCTGATTCATCTCAATTCGTCCTGGGAGAACCTTCACATGACGGCCGGCAAAATCGGCTTCATCGTATTCCATCTTGCCGAAACGAAAACGAGCACTGAGGTCTTCCAGAAGATGATCTCTGACCTCTGGTTTTGCAGCCACATTCAAGTCGTCTACTTCCACTAGAATCATGGCTTCTACCTCGCCTTTCTTGTCTCTTCTCACATACCAACAAGGTTCCAGTAGGCTTCTTTCAAAGCCAAGATCCCGCAGGTAGTGAACAACTGTATGATGCCACCGAAGGGGGGCGTCTTCAAGACCATACACTGGTGCCACCAGCTGAACCAATGTGCCTTTGGGCAGGCATAGTCCATCGCAAGCTTCCACGTAGAGCTTGCCTTGAGGCCGGTCCAAAGGTTCTGACTGACAAAAGGCTTGAGTCACATCACAAAAGGTCACGGTCATGTTCATGTTCGTGCACAACTGAAAGAAAATGGAAATGCTCTCTGTCATGGGCATGGGTGAGTATGTGGAATAGGAGCCACTGTCTGGATCGCTATGACCGAGCACTCACCAACGGGACTTAAATTTCCACTTTCCAAGACCCGGCATGGGTTTCTTCCGGCGCACGAATCGAGACTGAAGAATGCGATGAGGTTGGTGTTGTCTGACATCTCGCGACTCCTGCAAGGAAAGCACCTTGACTGCCTTGAGGTCCAGAATTGTCTTCCACTCTGCCTGATCCGCATTCTTGAAACCTTGAACCTCTTCAGGAGTCGCCTCCTTCATGTTGAATTCTTGGCTCTTTCCTTTGAAAGGCTTCACCATGAGGCACTCGCCTTCGACCTTGAACTCGGAAAAAGCAAGCCCTTCTTGTGACATCACGCCCAACAGCTCCTCCCTGAGAGAGTCGAAGGGACCCTCCGTTTGGTTCTCTTGCTCCTCCACGTCAATCTCTGCTATGACACGAGGTGGTTGTCGGTCTGTGCTTGAATCTGGATCAATGGAGGCGGACGACGAGGACTGTCCTGCTATCCTCTCCTCATTCAATCTCCTAACTTTGTCTTCTCTCTCCAATCTCTTCAAGGTTCTCAAGGCTATCTTTTCAAGCCTCTCTTGTTCTGGATCTGACACAGTCCTCTTCAAACTTTGACGTGGAATCTCTGCCTCAGGAGTGTTCTCAATGATCTTCTTCTTCATTCTTCTCGACGTGGTTGATTCCTGGTCAGATCTTCTCTTGGATGACATGGAGATGTCACTCAAAGAACTGTCGTCTAGTGCCGACCCCCCTTCTATTGAGACAATCGGCTTGGGCACAACAATTTCTCTTAGAGGTTCTTGGCCAGGACGTTCTTGATCTCTTAGAGGTTCTTGATCTCTGATGATCCTGGGGTCCTAGAGGAGACTGCGCGATGGGAGCGTCGACCTCCACCGGTGGAACCATCGAACTCATCTCATCTGGCGGGGTGCCCTCAGCGGTGACATCAACAGCACCGGCTTTGGAAGATCTGCCTTGTCTGATGAGTTCTTGCAACTCACCTGATCTGGCCATGTCGGCTCCTACTGATTCATGGTGCGATGCCGGCCTCAGCTGATCGGAGTTGCACTTCCAAAGCCTGGCCCGCATAGACACCCAGACAGTATGACCTGCTTGAAGAACCACTATGCCGGGGCCAGTCCATCTCGCACGAGTCAAATGACCCTGTCCGGTGCCTGGAAACTTGCGCCAGACATAGACCCACTGCCCAATGGCCCACTGTCTCTGTTTGTGGAGTCTCTGACTAGTGCTCAGGCGGATCTTTTCCTTGCTGAGGTGCTGAATACACAGTTGACGAGCCTTCTGCCTAATCTGATGAGATCTGTTGAAGGCGGCTGCGGCTGTGTCTTGATCAAAGGCATCTGCTTCTAACTCCTGCCATCCAAGCTCCTGCAAGGTGTCGTCCGACAAAAGCTCTGTGGGCACGCGGTGGTTCACCCCGAAGACAAGTTGACATGGGCTGTAGCCTCCTCGTGAGTACCATCTGTTCTTGCAAGCGACCATGGCCGTGACCCTCAAGATCTGATACTTCAACAAGAACGGTCTGTCCTGAGTTGATCTCCATCTCAGCTCTATCCTTCACCCAACCTCCGTGTCTTTCGACACGGCCGTTCTGCCACGGTGAGGCTGCATCTGTGATTATCTGCATCAACCCAAATTGCTCTGCTGAGCGCTCAAATGCTTGCTTGAATTCTGAGCCACCATCGCACAGAATTGTTTCTGGGATCCCGAACGGCTGAATCCAGATGCGATGAAACAACCTCCAGGTCTCTTGAGATGATGGAACACCACCGTCATAGTTCTTCAAAAGGCCAACTTGCTGAAAGTTCGTGCCGTGACACACTGCGTTCAAAAAGGCATAGGTGCGATTGTCAAAGGATAAAAAGAAGAAGTCCAAGCCAATTATTCTGTTAAACTGAAAAGTGCGGGGAATTGCGGCATGTCTTCTCTCTACTGGCTTCCTTTGTCTCACGCACGACGGACAGTGAAATTTGTCCTTCACATATTTGAGTACGCCTTCCTTGGCGCCGGCAGCTTTGAGCATGGAGAGCATCTGTTCTCTGGAAATGTGACCCATGTTGTTATGCATGAGCTCCACTTTTCTCTTCTGTTCCTCGGTCAAATCGATGGAGAGGTCTCGTTGAATGGTGCCTGGAGCCCGAGGCTGCACCATGTCTTCACCACCTATCTCGACCTCTTCCTCGTCCATGATGGCATGACCTTCGTGCACTGCCCCGGAGAAACTGCTAGAACCAGTTTCCAAACCCTTCACTATGATCTCAACCATGTCTTTCGGATACACCTGAGCTTTTCTAGGCAAGCCGCTTTCTAAGTGCACGTGAGAGTGCTGTTGTCGGCATTGAAACTGAGACAACAGGAAGGCGACACCCAGGTGATTGGTCGCCAGACCTGTGGACTTTCGAGAGAGACCTCCTTTCTTGTCCACGCTCAAGCCGAGTTCGCACTGATCAAACAAGAAATGAAGCACGCCTTTTTGTTTCAGCAGCCACTCAAAGCCATGGGTGCGCCACGAGGAAGCACCAGCGGGCTGCTCAATGATAAAGAAGCGGCCCTTCTGAAGTTGAAAATCAGCTACTTGAAGACATAGCTGCCACATGACCAGGGCTTCCATCTGTTCCTTGGTGAGTTTCTCGATGGGGATGCGTCGAAGATTGATGTTCATCAGCTGACTGAACATCTTGCACTCGGGGCTCAAGATCACCACATCTGGAGCCTGTTCCTCCAGAATGCGCCACATCTTCTGTCGATCTCCATAGTCCAAGGCGTTCCATCCAGACTTCAGATCCAGATTGGCCGGTTCTGTCGTCTTGAGGCCTTGACGCGCAGCCACGGGAGTCACCCGCGGGGCCAAAAAGATCTCGATGATCTTGGGCTTCTCTTTGGCCAGATTGGCCACGAAGTCATCATGGCTACACGGGCGCAGCTCGCTGAGACCGAGGGCACTAAGCTCCGGAGAGCTAGAGTCGAGCGATCGAAACGAGCGGCGCGAAACAGGTTCATCGATCTTCTCTTGTTGGCTCTTTGGCTCTTGTTCTTTCTTGATCGGCCCATTGGGCTCCTTTCTGGTTTCTTGAAGGCCTTCAGGCTCATTCACTAGTTGATCTTGCTCCAATGAGCTCGTTCCAAAACTTGGGCACTTTGACCCATCATGCAACATGGTGGAGAGTGACTCGACTGAATTCACCAGTGCTCGCTTTTGCTTCTTGGAAAGGTGCGATTCCGGTCCTTCGGGAAAATCGCTGCAAACGAGATCGTCAAATAATTCCGCGTCACGAAAAACAAAGACTTCCCGATCAGCACCCTCGAAATGCAGCTTACCGACAAAACAGACCCTATTTTCCCGTTGGCCTAGGAATCTCATGGATGCAGGGTTCTTCGGCACTACCAACCAAACATCTGGACTGGATTCTATACAATTCGCGCGGTCCGGGGTTGGAGGCTCAGTGAAACTCGTCTCGAGATCAGCCCAGCCTGCCCGGCTGGTGCTCGGAGATCTGATCCCAGTCCTCCTCGTCCGGCAAAGGATGCTGCTGGGCCATCGCAAATCCTTGAGCCAGCAGCCGATGAAGCTCTTCCGGAGGCAGCGCCGGAAACGCAGCGCCCGGCTGGCGAGTTGGATCCGTCTGCTGCATGATGCGCTGCTGGTTCAGAAATAGCTGCTGGAGCTGCGTATCCTGTCTCTCCTGGGCACGTTGAGCTTCCTCGGTCTGGAACCTCAGGGCCTGATGAAATCCCTCCACAACAGGCAGCATGACCTGCGACATGAGAGCTGCCGTGTTCTGCAACAGCTGCTGGTTCTGACCTTGAAAGGCACTCTCCAGGTCCGGCGTGATGGGTGCCGGAGCCGTCGTTCCGCTGGAGACCATGGGCGTTCTCGGAGCGGCGGCCGCGCTCGAGGAGACGTAGGTCTCGATGTCCACACCCTTGGTCTTCCGCGCCGCGGGAGGAGGATTGTCCTTGCCATATTTCTGGTATCCCGTCTTGGTCTGACAAAGGGAGCAGCGAGTCCACGTGCCGTGTTGATTGGCCCCCCTTGTCTCGAACTCCTTCGGATGCTTGCGCTTGTCCACCAGCTGGCGGGAGCTGGGAATTGGCCCCTCGCTTGGACCAGGCCTCGACGTGGTGTAGTCCCCAGGATACTGCTTGAGCCCCAGGGCCTGGTTCAAGATCAGGAGCTTCCGGGCAAAGTGATACCAGTGGTTCTCCAGATTCTCTCGATCCGCTTCTGATCTGATTCTGGACTTCTTGACTCGAGCGTTGAGAACCCCAAGAGCCGCCATGAGTGAGATCAGTGTCAGCGTATTGGGCTCGAAGACTGAAATCACGGAGTGATCGTTCTGTCTCACTTGAGGCGGCGAGGCAAGGGCCAACGCTCAAAACAGCCGTTTCCAAATTCCTCATGTTGACATCAGCTTCTTGCTCAGAAAACAATGAGATGATCCTAGTTCGAGACCAATGCTGATGACAAAAATTCAGAGGAAAATCCGTAATCTCTAACAGTTCACTCGCAAACCAACCATCACACGTTTCACGTTTAGTGCTCATGTCAAAACAGTTCTTATTGCGTTGCGCGTTTCGCTCAATCAGACATGCTTCACAGTCAAGTGCCAACCATGACGTGCGAAAAATCAACTCGTGAGAAACCTCTGCGAAGTCCTTCAATGAAACGAAATTGCCTAGCACCTGATCACACGTCACCTCGGACCTATGCAGAACCTTCTCATCTAGTCCTACCTGACTGAAGAAACACGACAACTCCATGGAGAGCGGACGAGCAGCCGTATATGCTCTGCGGTCGGAGGACGGAAGGTTGAAATCACCCTCTTTCAGGCCAAATGTTTCGGCCAGCGACGAGGGAATCGGAAACTTGCTACCACCCCACTCAATCACGTCCAAGGTTCGATGACCAGAAGGCAGTCTAGTCATCTTGGCACTCGTGTTGAACTTCTTGAAGTCTATCTTGTCGGCTCCGGTGTCAATGATGGCCTGTCCGTACTCCAAAAGGCCAATGGACAGGAGTTGTGGCACATCTCCATCCACGACGGTCAGCTTGATCACGCCGGGTTGACCCCCAAGAACGCATGGGGCCAGGGCCATAAAAAGAGTCTTGGCTGCCCCTCCGACACCGGATGCCTTGGCGGGAGCCTCCTTGAGCTTGATCGTCTTGAGACCAACCTCAGCCAGCTTCTGCTGAGGCTTGTTGTAGCTGTGCAAGCCGATGAGATCTTGAGACGCCCCAGGGTCAACAATCGCTTGCCCCGGGTCCAGCTCAAGAAAGGAGGCATGCTCAGTGAACTGGTAGTTGACAAAATTCTGAGCCAAAAAAGCAATGGAGTCTCCAGCGCCCTCAGACAAGCCCAGGTAGGCGAAGGCATTCATCTTTTGTCCCTTATCCCTGTCACGCCTGCCGCCCTCTCGAGCAGGCTCAGTGCAATCTTCTCGCCAGTGACCCTTCTTGCCACAGTTGCCGCAAAAGGTCACCTTCTTGAGCTCATCCACGGACAGTCGACGCTTGTAGCTCGTGATGTCTTGTCCTCAAAGTGTCTCCGATCTTTTCGCCTGGCTGCCTTGAGAAGCTTATTCTCCTTCCAGGTCCGACGCCGGTCCTGTTGAAGATCTGCCATCAACGACATGGCCGCGTCCTCACCAAGGTCTGCGAGCTCGAAGGCCGAGAAGATGGTGTCGTCGTCCACTTCGGAGTCCGTCTCCTCATACTCAGGAGCGTCGTCAAAGTAGCTCACCTTGCCGTTCTTGATGATGCTTTCCTCGTCAAGGTCCAGCACCTTCAACACCTTCTTAACCTCCGAGTAGGAATGGAGGCCGCGAGTGAGAACCCTCAGACTCTGCATACTCTGCTTGGAGAGACCTGACTGTTCTTCCAGAAGAATGCCCTTGATCTCCTCCGGTATGGTCATGTACCTGCTGGCTACTTCGAACTGAGACTCCCTCCTAAGGGCATACTGCGCGAGGGTCTCTTCTGACTTCCTGTGGCCTTCAAAGAGAGCTGCTCGCACTGCCCTCCTTCGTTCCGAGTCCTCGTTTTCACCTGCTAGCACATCCAACACATTGAGGATCTCCGTGAGGTAGGAGGGACTCGCCAAGGTGGTCTCTGACACGTGGTCCAACTTGGCCTGCAAAGACCAGTCGAGCGTCTTGAGCACCTTCTCCGCTCGTCGCCACACGACGACGTCGGTATTTGAGTTCCACCTGACCAAGGCTCTGCGCCACAACCTGTAGTTGGGCCATCCCGACCAGGCAGGCGGATCACTGTAGTCCGCCTTCGGGTAGTGTCCGCTAGGCCACCATCCTGACGAGTGACCATGTTCCATCATTGGTGCTCCTGAGGTTGAGGTTCTTCGGGACCAGGGATCACGTCCTGCTTGCTGCCATGGGTCCGAGTGGTCGTTCCCCGACGTGGGCAAGGTCGAAGCGGCTGCCCCAGCCGTCTCGGTGCCCTGCTCTTTCTCCCCCGAGGCGTACCACCTCGAGCCGTAGCCCCAGCTCGAGCCCCAGTACCACCTCCTATTCCACTCTTCCCACTCAGCTTCACTCCACTGCCGCCTTTCGCCTCCAGCTGCCGGTGTAGTTCCCCTCTTCTCCTGCTCGATGCCTTCCTCGCGATCTTCCATCTCCTCGCTGCTTGTCCCTGGGCTCGGCATGTGCTCCAGAGCTCCGGTTACCAACTGACAATCCCACGACGAAGCTAACGAACTCGCTGAAGGGCACTTCTTTCCACCATGTGCGTCAAGGAGTAAAGGGGAACCGCTACCGGCGGCTGGAAGCCAACATAACACGAATCAACCGAAGGAAATCTCAAACAAATCAGAGCAAAGAACACACAATGTGCTTTAACATTATTTGTCTCGGGTATGTTGTTGATTGATTTGAATTTAGCCTTTGTTTTGTTTGGTTTTGGCGGTGAATTCTAAGTTGAGGTTTTTTCTTATTTCTGTAATATATGTTTATTTAATGTTGATAATGACACTAACTCGGGCCGGTTTCTTTTTGCGTTTTTGCGCCGTGTCTTAGTTAGTGCTTCGCTGAACACTTGGTGGGAGAGCAGGTCAGTGCTTTAGTGGTCTGCACGCGCTGGTCGACGGAGGGGCGGTACGTGAACAATTTGTTTGGTGTGGCGGGTCCAGGTTGGTGCCAAACAACGGTTTGGTTTGCATAAGCATGTCGCAAAAAATCATTGAGACACTGGGGAGAGTGGATGCCCAACACACCTTTGTGCTCTGTTTGGCGGCGAACTGGTGCTATATCGGTGCAAACACAATGGATGCGTATACGAGTGTACCGTCGTGTGCTTACATTTTCCGTCGTGCTAAACTTGTCGCCCGAAGAACTTCACCACGCAGTTCTGCAAGTTCTTGTTGAGGGACCCCCCCAGCAACGAGTTTTGTTACTAGTAGCTTCTTGCTCCTAGTAGTACGGCCAGGAGCCCCTAGTGCCCTAGTGGCGAACATTGTTACTAGTAGACCTACCACGGTTTCGTCAGTTTTGCCACTTCGCCTTGGGACAAATGGTGCCATGACGACGGGCCACCACGACGACCTCTGCTGCGCCTCTTTCTAAGGCCGTACGCCTCAGTGTGAAGCCATTGAAGCTTTGCCCCTGGAGAAAACAAATTAGGTGAAGTGACTTGTCGCACCACCGACTGCAACTGACATGTAGATTGAGGTGGCAAACAGTGACAGGCATGAGTTCTGAGTTTTTCAAAGCTGTGTTGTTTGGATGGCGGGTATTATTTGGCTGACAAACGGCGGGACTGCAAAACCGATAGCTTCAGGAACACAGCCTAGTAGAACGGGTGTAGCCACCACTGATGTAGTGAAGAGCTAGCGTGGCCGTAAAACGGGCAAAGTCTTCAAACTTGAGGGAAACCAGGCCTTCAGCAAGCTCTGCCACAGATGTGGCCTTTGAAGCCCTTAACCTATTTTCGCAAGGCGAAGCTTAATTAGGAGCCCCCAGTGTTCGGGCTGGTAGGGTTGCGGAGAAGCAAACAGTGGACTGGGCAAACAGTGTGCAAACAGTGGTTGTGGTTTTCACAAGCCGTTGCACAAGTTGTGTCGACGCGTTTCCCAAGTCTTGGACACATTCTCCACAGCAAATGCGCCCATTCCAGCAATGACGACTCGCTTGCCACACCAATCTACGCCTGGCAGTTCATACACCCAAAGGCAGTGAATGGTTGTTTTTTGGGGATCTTCTTCCCCTCCTGTCATGCTTCCACATAGTGGTTTCTTTCATCCCATTTGAGAATGGTGTGCTTCTTGATTTCCCTGATGAAACATGCAATGTCCAAACTCGTCCTTCTCACAATGCCAACCCCCACCCTGTTACCGACACCTCACCTGCCAGTGAATCTGATGTGCCATCAGCTACCACACCCTGGAAGCTCTCTTTCCCAGGCACATCCAGTGGTCTCGGTAACCCAACACGGTCGTTGACGCACAGCACCACACCACGGCACTGAACGATCCCAGCACCTTGCGCCAATTCCTAAGATCGGTGTCTGGAGGAGCCGTTGGCAAACTGGAAAAATATCAATCAGCTCTTTGAGACCATGCCCCTAGTAGCGTTCTTGCTCCTAGTACTGCTAGGCTGGAAATGAGTTATCGAAGATATATCTAAGTTACACTACATGTGAGGAAGTTATAAATTCTACATATAAGTTAGTTACAAACAATTTATAAGTATTATAAGTAAGTTATAAGTAAGTTATAAGTAGGTGCCAAGTAGTTAATATTTTCTGAAAATTAGACGTCCGCACTCGGCACGCGCGGTACGCAGTCGTACTTTTTCACGCGCAGCAGTGCTCAGTGGGTGCTGGTGATCCTTGCGCCGTCACTTCTCCACCAACGCGCGGTCGTCCACTGCGCCGCCTCGTCTATGCGGTGCCACGTGTCCCTGGATGTCAGATCCCAGACGGAGCCCCACGGTTCTCGGGACACGATCTGCGTGCGAGTCACCCTCACGCGGAGGGTTGTCTGTTTGGATTGCACCAAGTCTCGGATCATGCCTCCACCGTCTCCTTCCCAGCGCCAGATGACGTGGTCTCCCACAAACAAAGTACCCAACGCGCTGCGGGCAGATAGGGAACGTTCCAGCGACTGATCGCGAAAGAGCCGCTGCGACTCTGACGACGCAGGGCGAACCTCCTGCAGTAACTTGCAGTTCCATGAAGTTGCGTCCGCGTCGCCCACGAGACACAACGCGCCCAGCGTTTGCTCCTGCCACACTTTTCCGACGTTAACCCATGCTCTGTGTTTGTCCAAGATGCCGCCCGACTTGAGCGCCTGGTGCTTCTTCTCCATGGCAGAGCAATCAGGCACGAAGCCTAGCTTCAAGATATCCGCTGGTAGATGCAGCCGATGATGGTGCTTCGGGCGGACCTTCTCCGCACCATATGCCTCCACAAATGCGCGGTGGTGCGCCTCTTGTTTCCGGGCCAATGGAAGCACGTCCAAAGCGGAAGAAATCAAATCAACTCGACTCCTCAAGCGGTGAATCTCCCGGTCTACTTCGACTAAGGCTCGGTATGACTTCGTTTTCTCCCCCGCGAAGCCCTGCTGTATCAATAATCTATCCACATAGTAGTGCAGAACATGCAACAGCAACATGCAGTCGCTGGCGTCGCCCTTGAACCCCGTCCCAGCTTCGTGCATCTTTTCGTGCAACAGTCCACGCAAATATCCAGGTCGCAGGGTACGACCTTGGCCCTGTGCGTGCCAGGACGATACGTCGCAGACTTGCTGGAGGTCTGCTAGACTCACGCCGCGGACTTCCAACTCTTCCAGTATAAGACCAATCTCGCTGCTACAGATGCCGTTGGCAAAGTAGTCGTGCATGACATCGGTGCAAGAAGAACTAAAGGGTAGACGGGCGCGTGCTCGAGGGCAAAACAGCAATCCTCCCGGTAGCAGGCGGACGCCAGTTGCTTTTTCTCTCTCCTTCAGTGCAACTTTCGTCAAGGGTTCCTGCAAGGAGTGCACCGCCGCAGCATACGCGGCGTCCGTTCTCGGGTGGAAAGTTGCCAAATCGGGTTCGGCAATAGTGCAGAAGCCTGGAGGTATGCTCGTGGCCTGGCGACTGAGGACGTTGCTGCATGCACCGCGCGGGAGCAAGCCAGCGCTGCCCTTGATGCCATACGTCGCACGCTGGGCGTCATGGTCCGCCACGAAGAAGGACTTGCTGTGCAGGCGCAGCTGGGTGTCGCCGTGTGCGCCACAGTGGATAGTGAAGCCCGCCTCGTGTCTGTCCGCGTGCAAAGCGTTGACCACGCATCGCATGATGCCAGACGTCCCACCTTCAATGCGGTCCACCTGCGTACGCTGAACACAGCCCAGCACAAACCACGCCTCCGGGCATGACACGGTTCGGTGCATTTCTCTGAATGTGCAATAGACACAGAGAGGTTTTTTCTTTTTCACAGGAGCCAATATATTGCCTCCCGTGACTTCATCGTTGTATAGAATGGCCTGCGCGCGGCCGCTCTGAGCGCCCGCCGCCTCCCAGACAGCTGAAGCCCAAGCTGGGTACGTTGAGACAAGTGCCTGCAGCAGACGCTCCAAGTTTGCCACATACAAGGGTTCTGCGGGCTCACCTGCTTTCGCACTAGGGAGCCAGTGTAGGTCAAAGCAGGCTTGGAATCGAGCTTTGCGGTCACGCACCGCTGTCGACCCTTGCCATCGACTGATTTCACTTCCCTGCGCTACGGCAGAGTTCCAGATGCGCACCGCGTCGCGTACACTGGAATGAGTCCCGCGCAGGGCGTCCCAGAACGCATCCGTGGTGTCTGGATCTTTCCTCTTCCGTCCCGGCATGGCTGCGCGGCCATGCGTCGAGCCGCAAGGGGTCTGAGCGGCGAAGTCGGGATCTTTTCAAGAGAGTCTCTATATATATACATATGTTAACGGCGAAGTCGGGATATATTCAGAGGATCATTTATAACTATTGACTGCGTGGTTATACAGATATACTATAAGAAACATTTGCAAGAGCTTCTTTTCAGCGCGCACGAGTCCGTTGCAGACCGCGCTACCGTCATCACAGACGATGCAGAGTACTAAACAAATTAAGCACCTTGTCGTGCACGCGGGCTACATCCGACGAGTCGAATGTAAAGTCCTCCACCCCCTCCGCGTTGGATTGTGCTGCGCGCCGGAGGCAGGCCCTCGCAGGGACGAGCATGGTCTGCGCCACCCGCAGGGCTTGCCACATGTGGATGATGCTGCTGGCCATCTGGCCATCGCAAGCCAGTCGGCGTTGCAGATCTGTTTCCGGCGGTTCCAACACGTCCACAGTCTCCTGAGCCAGAGACCGTGGGGCGGTGTCGGTTGCAGTTTTGGCGTCCACGCCGATCGTCTCCTCATCAGAGGACGATGCTACCTGGACCGGAGCCATGTCTGCCAAGAGAGTGCGGATGTTGTGGTGCACTCCCAGGTCCGCAAAGCGCGGACCATAGAGATGCACACGCTTATTGGCCACGAGCACGCCATGTATTTCGCGCACCGTGCCCGGTGCTTTGCGCTTGCGCTCAGACAGTGGGGCGTGCGGTAGTCGACACTCCATGGCCATGAAATCTAAACAACTGAGCCCGCAAAATGAAATGGCTGCACAAGCAGACATACAGACAAGCAAAGACACAACAAACAATACAATTTGTCACATATCTCTTCCACCCACGCGCGAGCGTCCTCTCGCCTCTGATTTTCATCTGCTCACATACCAGTTCCCCGTGGCATGGTTCAGCCGCGCAAACGCAGCACTCTATCGCACAAAAAAGGAGACAGCAAGGCATGCGTCTATGTGTCCGCTTGGGTCTCGGCGGCTTCGTCAGCGGCAGCCTTTGCCGCTTTCACGTTCTTGCGCATCTCGGTTAGCAACGACTTCGTGGCCTGGACGTGGTTCTTCAGGTCCGTAGATGAGAACGGCAATGGGGGCAAGGGCACATGAGCAGAGATGTGGTTGCCAGCCGATACAATGGCGTGCGCAGCCGCCTTCTTCTCCTCTGTGTCCTTAGCCGCGTCCATCAACACCTGCACGTCCAAGTTCACACCCTCTGCCTGCCTCTTCACAGTCGCCAAAGCCTTGGCCTGCGGGGTGAGTGCGGCGAGTGCCTTCACAGCCGTGGCCAACTTGCGCTCATTTTCTTTGTCCGTCTTCTTCTCCTGCTTCTCCAGTCGCTTGGCCTCGGACGCTTCCGTCCCCTTCGCGGACTTCGCAGCCTTTGCCCTCTGCTGTCCCCCCTTTGCTGCCCCCGCGGAGGTCATCGGCTTTGCCACATCCCAGTCGTCCTCCTCCGCTTCGACCTGCTCGTCGTCTGCCTTCTTCCGCTTTCCCGACTTGCCCGGTTTCTTGGTCACGGCCTTTTCACGGAGAAGGACTTCTTCTTCGACCTTGCTGCGAATCTCCTTCCACACATCTGCGCGCACTGGGACTGCGTACAGCTGTCCGAGCTTCGGACAGACTTCTGCGGGAAATGCCTCCACAGATTCACGGCTGTAGCCCCTGGCCACCCAGACCGAGAGGGGTAGTGCCTCTGCAGTCACGCGGTTCTCAGTGGAGTTGATACGGGATTTCACTTCCGTATGAATGACAACCGTCTTGACTGTCTCCCAGGCATACCGTCCATCCGGCGCGGTCTCAGAAGCCTTTCGGAAGAAAGCTTGCTTCTGGTCTTGCGTCCATTTCTCCAGCGTCCCGGTGCCAACGTTCCGATACAGCATGCTCTGCAAGGTCAAGCACGTCCGGCACTGAAAGGTCTTGCCTTTCACTCTCCCGGGTGTGTCCGTGGGCAGGTCGCGCCTGCACAGCTTACACACCCGAGAGCTCGGCCCTTCCTGCGCCGGATTGTCCTCGACCATGGCTGCCATCAAGACGTCCAGCACGCTTCTGTCTGGAGCTAAGCGGAGACGCGTTCGAGCCAGAGCACGCTACAAAATCCTTGCTTTTTAAATATTTCCTATGTATGGGGTCCGACATCGACCGACATCGACCGACATCGGCCTACGTTGCGCGTTCGACGAAGTCTAGACGCGGGCCTTACTTACTTATGTAGGGGCCGACATGGTCCGACATGCGTAGAAATACAACATCGAAAACGGGGTCCGACATCGACCGACATCGACCGACGTCGGGTCCTCTGAAAGTCCTCCTTTTCTGTAGTGTATTATATCTCCGAAAATATATTATCCGTTTCGCTCCTACATATACCTCTCCACATTTATATTTGTATGCTGCTGCGTACACCGCTCGGCTCGCACAGCTTGCTCAATCCTTTTTCACGCGCGCGTCTCCGTGCCGCGGTCTTTGCCCGTCCGCATCAGCCAATGGTGATACGGATGGGTCGGCCGCCGTGCCTCCTCTCTTTCTTCTTCTTCTTCGCAGGTGAGGGTGAGGAGCTGCTGCTGGGCGGACGTCCTCCGCGCTTCTTCTCCTTTTTCGCCGGTGGTGGAGAGCTGGAAGAAGTCGATGACTTTTTCTGCTGCTTCTTCTTTTTCTTGCCAGGCCAAGCGTTTGGCATTGGCGTCGCGTCAGGCCACTTGTGTTCAGCGCTCGGCTTGAACACCACCTTGTCCCCCTGAGATCGCGCAGGTGTGGCTGGCTTGGCCAGCTGGGCCAGCTGCAGTGGTCCAGTTGCCTCCACACCCGCGTCCCAGTTGTCCTTGGCCAGCTGCGCTTGGCTCTGGCACCAATCCCAAGCCCCTGTGCGGAGCCGTTCCTCCGGCCTCAGCCGAGACCACTGAGCCACACTGAGGCAGTAGACGTTGGAGCGCTGGTGTTGGCTCAAGCCGCTAGCATTGCTAGTGACCCATTGGTTGCATACACCGCAGCGCTGTCGCCCGGCTTGCGCCTTGCCTCCTAGCGACGAGGCCACCGACACAGCCCTGCCAGGAGGAGGTTTGTCTGGTGACTGTGGTCGGCGCTTGGCCTTCTCGCTCTGAGCAGGTCCCCCAGATGTGCGCGGATCTGTCCGAGACTTGTCGCGCGTCTTGTGGCGGTGACGATGCTCAGTGCGCTCCCTGTCGCGTCCCCTCTCCTTGCCCTCGCGGCTCTTCTCTTTCTTGACCTTCTCTTTCTGCGGGCGGTGCTCCTTCTCTTGGCGCTCCTTGTCTTTGCGGTCCTCTTCGGCCCTTGCCCGCAGCAAAGGCTTGTCCGGCGATGAAGACTTCTCAGACTCTGCTGAGGAGTCTCCTTCTCGCTCCGCTTCTTCTTCCTCTTCTTCCTGCGAGAGGAGGTCTTTGTCCTTCCGGGCCATTGGCGTACCTGGCGGCAGTGCGCGGCGGACGAGAGAGAGATATATATATATGTCTGTGTGCATTTGTGCGTGTGTGCAGACAAGATATATATATATATATGTATGCATCACCCCGCAGGTGAATTGTACACTCACCACCACGCAGGTGGGACAGATACTCACCACCACGCAGGTGG